TAATCGATATGAATTATACCTCATGCATCCCAAAAAACTGTGGCCATCACCTTTCCGGCCGATTTCACGGTCTTCGCCTTCTTCGGAGCTGAATCACTTGGTGAAGTCCATTGTTTTGACTGTTTCTTCGTCTCGGGTGTGAAATAATGGATCCATATTTCGTTCACAATAATGAATCGACGCAGAAATTCATCTGGATTACGTTGAAACATCTCCAAACATTGCTTTGAAATCGTCACACGGTCGCGCTTATGGTCCACAGAGAGCAAATGCGGCACCCATCTTACCGATAGTTTTTTCATACTCAATTCATACTCAATTGTTCGTGCAAAATTGAAATCACTGTGCTATGTGATATGCTTGTGCCCTGAACAAATTTGCGCACTTTCACTCGTCGATCAGTCAAAACAATATCATGAACTTTATCGATGATTTCTGGCGTAGCAGCCTCAATTGGACGTCCCGAATGAGGTGCATCACATGTGGTTGTACGACCACGTTTAAATTCATTCACCCAATTGTGTACAGTCACAAACGCTGGTGCAGATGTGCTATGAACATTATCCAACTCGGTTTTGATTTCTTTCGGCGTTATACCTTTCATATGTAGATGTTTGATCACTGCACGAAATTCGTTTTTTTCCATTTTGCAAAAAATATAAAAGTTGTTCGCTTTAATCATCTACAGAAATGAAACCACGCGATGAATTCCGCTCAAAATTTGACAGTAATCAGCTGAAAGATGCTACTTGTTAAAAAGTAATGTGACATGACACTGCAAGTGTCCTCAGATTTTCTAAGAACTTGACTTGCCCTCGTATTGTAATTTCCTAGCATAATCCAGAACTAACGACAAGAACGTGGTAGGGGTCTGGTCGTGTGTGCATGCGCGTGCGCGTGGCGTGTCGGTGCGCACGCGCACGTGTGTGTGTGTGTGTTTTCATGCGTGCGTATACGATATGCAATTATATTACTTAATAAAAAATTAATTGTTTCTCAATTTTCTTTATTAAGTTATTTTCATTATTCAGATCCTGGGAATTACATTACATATTCTGTAACAAAGTATCTCTTGATCAAAGTAAAGTTGAATAATTTGTATTATTTCTTTTCTATTATTATTTGCTTGATTAACGTCAGTCCCTTTGCCTTTATTTTATTATTTACTTTTATATTTATTTATTTTTTTCCCCAAGCGAGCAGTGGGGAAAATCATGAGAAACGTGCTACTTGACTCGAATCAATAATGGTCATTTGGAAATTCAGGCTGTATTGATGATAGTACTTATCATTACTTCTATCATTATTTTACTTATTATTTTTAGCCACAATTGAGGTCGCGAAGTGAAATACAACTATGACAGCCTTATATTGCATGTTATAAGGTTCATTTAAGTATTTTTTTCAAGTCTGTAATATCATGTGGAACCGAGATTGTTTATATATCACCCAATATCAGAAATAATAGAAATATTCAAATTTGAACAAGTTATATTTCAAAAAGTGTTAATTTTAGGAGATCACGCTCATTGATACTTTTAATCAGGACACTTGGAACTACAATTTTCCAAAATATGAGAAGATTTGACCGAGAACCAAAATCCATAAAAAATGTGCGGGATCCTTTCTGTCAGAACATACACAACCTAATTCCGTATATATGGGATTGCAAAGTAAAATCACTTGTATACCGTTCGTATTATGAAAATTACGTATATAACTTTGATTGTAGAGAATATAAAGAGCTTTATTTTTTACTTCAGACTTTATTTTCAAAAATTAATATTTACAGAGATTACATTAAACAAAGAGATTTTTGACAGATTTTTCAAAATGACGGTCAAAATATGTCAAATTTTGTGGTGATATTAATTTTCAGGAGACAAAAATATATGAGAATTGATTTATGAAGAAAGTTTTTTGCTGCTGGCGCCCTTAATTATAAAATGCATCCCATTTTTCAATCGAATTACGAACGTAAAATAAGATTTAACCTTGGGTAGACCTTTAAGTCACTAAGCCGATGACCAAACTACAGTATTGAACATAAAATTTCTCGCTCATCTTATTTCTAGGAATAAAAATAGGATTAGATATAATAGGGGAATAGGAATCAAGCACGGTAATTCTTGTGCAAATCAATACGGTTAACAAAACAATTTTAATAATAATTAATAATAATTAATCCGCATTACATGTTTTGGCTCACTTTTGAGTCATCCTTAGAGACAATATGATGTAATTACAAAAAAATTTTTTATAAACTAATTTATTTTAGTGCCACCTCTTCTAAAACGGAAACTATAATATAAAAACTAACTCTAATAACAATCTAAAAAGGAATTGAAATTATTAAAAGATAAATTTGTTGGGAGCAAAAACAATATTTATTGTAAAATAATTGAAGGTAGCTTACTAAAACAAAAATTCATCATATCGCAAACACTTAAATTCTATCGATTTAGTCAAAAACCAGTTTTGACCATTCAGCGAGTCAGTGTCCATTATATTGAAATTAATGACTTAACTTTTAATATAGATAAAACGTTAATCGCAAAGAAAAAGAAAAAAGAAGGGGAAAAAAACTCTGTTATTAATTATAGTCCAGACGAGCATCAAAACCAAAACTAAATCTTTAATAATTTAATTTTAATGTAGCAAAGAATGTACATTGATTAGCTGGCAATAACAACGCTTCGATATTTATAGCAGGGACTCGGACCGGATCGAAACCGAAATCAATAACCGAACCATAACCGTTATTTTGATCGGACCGAAACCGATAACCGGACTGAAATATTGTGCAGGCTAATGGACCGAAACCGTAACAGTAGGATAGCTACACCGATTGTAATTCACTATGTGTTAGTGCGTATACGTATGCGATGTGTGCGTGAGCGTGAGCATGTGCGTGTGCGTGTAAGTCAGGGAGGGGAAAGTGTCTCACAGATGTTGGGAAGACGGAAGCGCGTCAAGGAGTAAAGGGGGAAGGGTTCGTTCCTTCTCTTTCTCATCCATTGCGTTCTCTCTTTAACCCATTGTCCTCTCTCTCCTACCCATAGGATGCAGTTCTCTCTCTTCTATCCGTTGCAGTCTTATACTTATTATTTGCACTCTCTCTCCCTCTCGTTGCGCTCTCTCCGTTGTCTTTTTTTCTTACACGCGATTTAATTAAATAGATATGACAAATATTTTATGAATTTTTAATGATTCGACTTAGTAACTAATTATTATAATATTTTTATGAATTTTAATATTATAATATAACCTAATAATACTAATTATGATAATTTTTTTTTCTTCTTCTTCATATCTTAATAGTAGTATTAAATTAGTCAATAAGAAAGCGCGCTTGATCATTTTTATAAATACTACAATATTATAATGTATAATAGTACAAAAATGATCAAGCGCGCTTTCTTATTGATTAATTTAATACTACTACTAAGATATGAAGAAGAAGTGGCGAAGATACTAGGGATAAAATAATTTTAGAAGAAAAGAATATATTTTTTAACATACATAAGATATGAAGAAGAAGTAGCGAAGGTACTAGGGATAAAATAATTTTAGAAGAAAAGAATTTTTTAACATACATTTATCTATCATTTAATGCAGTATGTACAATATAATTTAAATCATAGACTATTAGTTCACATTCTATAATAGAATTTTTATCAAAAATTTAATTTAATTGAATTTTGTACAAAATATTTGCAGCATCCCTTTTATTAGTAATTTTGTCTTAAAAATGGCACAAAATATTCAAATTTCTTACTAACACCGTGCATATATTGACTCAGTTCATAGAATACATGTTCAACGCATTGCTCAAGTTCAAATAAGAAAAGCCCAGTTGTTGGTTTCATGTACAAACATATGTCATTTAATGTTAATTTTATGTTATTCGTATCATACATTTTAACATAAGTTTCACATTTAGATCTGAATTGATGATGATGATGATGATAAAACCACTACACTACTGACTACATTAATCGCTCGATATCTGCACGCCTCTCGATAAACCTTCCACGTAGCATGAAATATGAACATGCAGTTGCTTTGATTATTGCCAATCGCAATTTGCACATGAGATATCGATCCCAATGTTCAGGAACTTGTACGTTGTCGATGTCAATGCATATTTCCTCGTCAAGATACGAAGCATGTAGTGAGGTTTCGAAGATGTACTAAATAATGTTTGATATGCGCTTTGAAAAAAAGAAAACATGTAAATAGATCTTATAAAAATACATAACGTATAATACGTATAAGCAAAATAGTTTATAAAATTAAATGAACTTACTGTCTCTTGCACACCTTCTGAATTGGAACGTAATAGTTCATGACTTGAGATATTTTTATTTTCTCGGAGAACTTATAATTAGCAATAATTGTCTGAACTCTGTTGCCCGGAGCTCTTCTTTTAAACAGTGTTTTTTATCACATTTTTTTTATACACCCTAAAAGGAATTTTTTTATATACATTATATTTTAAAGAACAGTTGCGACATGGTCGAATGATACCAAATTGACACATATCATAAGAATGCACTCTAATGATATCTTTATCTAAGGAATCGGCACCAACGACAATAAAGTCTATCTTCTCCTATTCTCTTTTCAAAATGAATTTCGGGACTGTGTATTTAATGTGAAATTTTACTTATCTTTAGAAATATCTGAGTTTATTTTTCAGTGTAATTATCATCAAACCTTTGTTAAACTACACAATGACACATATCACAAGAATGGATGAGCATATCAGACTTTTTTTTAATCTTTGAGGATCGACAGTAAAGTCTCTGTTCCTATTCTCTTTTCAAAATATTTTTTTTGGCCTACCTTTATGACTGCGATAAAAAATCATCTTTTTGGAAACACGTTAAAACTTGTTAAAACATGTTCAAACATGTTAAAACGTGCAACAAATCAAATGATGCATCTTTCTATACTATATAAAACGAAAAAATTTTCTTTTCTGGGAACTCATTTTGTCAGCAATCGAACAACAGTTCAAAGACAACATGGATTAAACAATGCGTGATCTCATAGCGTAAGCTATTGAATACCTGAGAAGAGTTTTTTGCATACAGCGTTGCGATAATTTCATCGAATCGCTGGAGGAACAGAGTTGCGCTAAACGTCCGTATCGATTGGAGTTAAACAATCGTTGAGCGCTCGTATTCAAAATTTGAAAAACACGATGCGTGGATATTTCGTGTAAGTGGATGCCGGGTACAGTGCGGGACTTCGATGATGAAAATCATATATTGACTGCTGTAATAAACTCTGAACATATCGAACCTTGCCAATTCCTCAAAGATGCGAGAGAGATAGTGCTTGAGCATGTGCAAAATGTTATTCAGAGACATGATAATATTAAGATAAACACAATGTTTAATGGTGAATTTGTGTCGGATGATAAATGTACAAATAAAAGTGAGCACGAGAAATTATGAACTCTTCTGTTCATAATTTCCGATTTACATGAGTGATATGCACATACGCGTCGCACGTCGTCGAGCCTATCCTGACATCGCTGAAGGAATTCCAGGAGCGCGATAATGGGTGGACGCTGTCGCGTATATTGAATTTAACAGTAAATATAAACATGTACAATCCTCTTTCGGGATTGCATCGGGATCGCATTCGGGATGTCATATCGAACTTCCGCGAGAAATTAAAATGAAGAGAGCTGTGGTTAATGTGCAATTTCTAGACAACGCGTGCTTTGCGTGGTTGCCGCTCTACACCCAGCTAAAAAAAATATGGAGCGAGAGTCATCATATTCGCATTACATGACTGTAGTGAATCTTCAAGACATTGTGTGCCCAATGACGCTGAATCAAATTAAAAAATTCGAAAATCATAACGATATCTCCGTTAACGTGTCGAGGACTGCATCGAGAAGCAAAAAGAAAAAAAGAGGGTTCTTCCGTTACGGCTCATCGATATGAAGAGGAACAAGCACGTTAATTTATTGTACGTGCAGGATTCGCAGGATGATAACGCGGGACACTTCTCGCGGATAAAGGATCTGCCCCGCCTCGTGAGCTCACAAATCAATAAATATGGACACAAGAAATACTTTTGCGATCGGTATATATTTAATTTAAAATTATGAAAATTTGTTTTGCAACCTCTTTGTGACAATAAAAAAATTATATTTTTTTTCAGATGTCTGCACTATTTTGGATCTAGCGCAAAGCTGGATATCCACATAGTAGATTGTGGAAAATTAAACGCCATCAGGTTGCCGAGCGAGGACGACAAGTGGTTGAGTTTCAGCAATCATTGCAGGAAGGAGCGCATACCGTTCGTGGTCTATGGAATACGACCTGGAATGCATCCTGGAGAAGAGAGAGAGAGAGAGAGAGAGAGACCCGAATATGTCAACATATAGGTACCAATATCATAATGTGTTTAGCATCGGGTATTACGCGTATTGTTCGTACGACAACTTGCTGTTGATATATTATTTTCGTCGCTGTAACGATTGCGTCGCGTAGTTCAACAAGGAATTCAGAAGTTTAGCGCATAATGTAAATACTATCCTCTGCTAATGTTCCCATGGCAGATTTCTCGCGACACGAATTGACAAAAGTTTAACAGTACCATGCACTGCCATGTGTGTGAAAAACTGTTTACGCCTGATACACGAGTACGCGATCATTGCCACTTGACCGGGAGATATAGAGACCCCATGTACTCAAATTGCAACTTAAATTATAAAGATTCACATTACATTCCCATAGTTTTTTATAATTTATCATGCTACAACATTTTATTATCAAGGATATAGCCATCACGTACAAAGGGTATGTAAACATACTTCCTATGACAAATATAGAAAATATATTTCGTTTACGAAACATGTCGATAGCACTATAGACAAAAATGATCAAAAGAAAACTTGCATAAAATTACGATTTATCGATTCATAAATTTCTCGCATCAAGCTTAGAAAAATTGGCGTCGTATCTCGATAAAGATAAATTGAAAATTACACGGTCAGAATTTCTTAATCTCAATCTGGAGGATTTCGATCTACTCACGCGTAAAGGTATATTTCCGTACGAGTACGTTGACTACGTCGAAAAATTGAAGGATACATATTTACCTCTGTGCGAATCGTTTTATAGTTCATTAACGGATGACACTGTACCCAAGAGTGAGTTACGCGCATGCCATGAATGTGTGGCAGCGATTCTCCATTTGAACCTTCAGTGAATATAGCGACTTGTACGCTATCGTGGGAATTATTCCCACACGGGAATGTTCGTGCGTATGCGTAAGCTACCGTTACAGTTTCGTATTGACTGCTTTCACATCGTATCGGCAATATACATGCGCACAAACATTTCCGTTTGGAATAATTCCCACGACAGCGCATCACTGACTTGTACTTAAAAACAGATATCTTGTTGTTGGCCGACATTTTTGAGAATTTTTGCAACAGTTGCATCACCAGTTATGAACTCGATCCCGCGTATTATTACCTCTACCAGATTTTACGTGATGTTGAAACATATTCGCGTCAATTTCGAACTTTTTACCGGTATCGACATGGTTCATCGAACATGGTATACGCGGGGGTCTAAGCCAGTATTTCAACAGATTCGCGCAGGCTAACAACAAATACATGCCGTCGTACGATCCATCGAAACTATCGACGTATCTGTCAATCATCGTATGATGTACTGTGACGTCAACAACCTCTACGACTGAGCAATGTGTCAACCATTGCTATACGGCGATTTTCCATGGGTCAACGATGTAGACAATTTTGATGTTATGAATGTCACATTAGATTCACATTCTCGAAGTTAGAATATCTGCTACATCTCCATAACGTGCACTCCAATCAAATAACCGACGCTTTGTCCGACGCATGAGAAACCCGGTAAGCGAGATGATAAATTCTTCGCGAATTTATATGATAAAAAGCATTACATTAATCATTATCGTAATCTGCAGCACTCGTCATAGTCTCCGCATCACAAAAATTTATCGTGTATTACAATTCGCGCAATTTCAATGGCTTCGCGAGTACATCAAACTCAATACAAATTTTAAAACTCGCGCGAATAACGAGTTCGAAAAAAAATTATATAAATTAATGAACAACGCGGTATTGGGCAAGACTGTGGAGAACGTTACGCAACCATGTCGACGTGCGACTTGTCACGCGTTGGGACGGGAGATACAGTGCAGAGACAATGAACGTGACATTAAACTTTCATAGTAGAAGCGTTTTTTTTTGCAAATTTGGTCGCAATAGAAATGCGTAAACTCAAAGTGAAGTTTAACAAACCATAGATATATACATGGGTATGTGTATCTTGGACATATCCAAGGCATGTTTGTATGAATTTCATCACGAGTACACGTTACCGCTCTTTCATGAAAAATTTAAAATTATGTATACCGACATGGACAGCCTTATTTATCACATCGAGTGCAACGATGTCTATGCTATGAAACACGATATCAATCAATTCGACATTAGCAATTACGCGATCGACAATGTATGATATTTCGCTCGTAAATAAAAAAGTTCCCGGTTTAATGAGTACAACGGCGCGATCATAACTGAATTCGTCGGGTTTAGAGGCGAAAATGTACGCCTTGCGCGTCGATAGCAAAAAAGATACTGTTCCGGAATCATTGTTATTTCAAAAATGTATTCTCGGGAATGGTAAGTAAACAGCTTAAAGACACACGAGCTGTCCTCATTCAATCACGCCTGCGACCGACATTTTGTTTAAAATATGAGTGTATTTCGCTCCTGTTCTAATCACGCTATCTATATCAAATGATACACGATCCCCCTTACGCGACACTTGAAAAGTTGATCATCGCGCACACGTTCTGTGTGCGAAAGTTCAGTTCGCTTCCTGATCTCGATTAATACGAATTATCGATATTCGTGCTTAATCTTATCCCGAATATTCAGAGCGAACCACACCGAAATCTCAGCGCGTATTAACGCTGTATTTTTTCATGTAATGTTATCGATATATGAGTACCGCGAGGGCATTCAGTGCGCGAGAATTCCCTGAGTTTCCGACGAAATTTACCGGTCTCGTTGCTGCTCACAATACGCATTTTTTCTAACGGCCGCGAAAAATTATTCAACGTCATACCAAGTGTGAGTTACCTGTGCACACATCTAACCGAACGCATCAATTATCGGATTACGAGCATCGCGGGATTATTGCCCGCTTCGAATAAATCTTAATTCGACTCAATAATAAAGTAAAAAAAAGTTTAAATTATTACAACAAAGAAAGTCATCGTTATTACACGCCGCCTTAGCGAGCGAGCCTTCCATACAAGGTGACAGCAGCGTCATACACAAACAGATACTAAGAAGGCAAAGGGCGTTGTCAAGAACAACGTTGTAGCGAGATTCATAACGTTCAATGATTATACGTGTCTCAACGACACAATTGAAATAACGCGCAGGCAGTCGTGCATAAGATCGAAATTGCACGAAGTATATTGTACTATATCCGAAACGAAAATCGCTCTGAGTCTATACGACGATAAGCGGTATAATGTTCCAGATTCTATCGACACGCTGCCATGGGATCATTATAAAATATTATTATAAAAAAATTCCTTTTTTTTCGTATTTATTACTTTTTTTTATTAAAAACACATTTATATATGATGTATAATATGTTTAATATGTATATTATGTATAGTATGTATAATATGTAAATTATGGATGTATGGTATGTATGTACGTTTGTACGTATATACATATGTATGTATATAAATACGTTCGTATGTACATATGTACATATGTATGTACGTATGTACGTATACATCTGTAATATGTGTAATGTGTATAATATGTATTATATAATGCGTTTATATTTAATGTACATTTACATAGGGAAAAAAATAATTATACAATTTATAATAAATTTTATTTTTATAATACACTATCCTTGTGTACCCCAAGAATTGTGCGAATTATCAAATCCTAACCATATCATGTAAACCTCTCCTTTTTTACACATCTTTTCAACTAGATATACATCGAGATTAGCGATGCGATACAACTAGTACTAGTAGAATCCTCCAGCGACAGGTTTCCCACGGTAATCTTTCAGTAGATACATCATGGGATTAATTTTTCTGTACTTTGATTCTAAATATCTCCGTCCAATTTGGCGTGTAACCTTTCTCAAAGATCGTTTTGAATTTGCTCACACGTACCGAGTCACCAACTTTGAAGTGCGGGAATGCGACGGCCTTTACGGTACAGTATACCATGTTTAAGAGTTTGTTGGCGATCGTGGGAGTCACATTGATAGGCCGCATACTGATGGTTCGATGCTTTCGCGCGTTGTATTGCGACATTAGACGCGGTAGTAAATCAATCCATTTGTAATTTCCATTGTGCGTAAATTGTTTCCACATATTGTTTTTCAATGTACGATTGAACCGTTCTACGATTGATGCTTTCATTATGGAATACGTTAAATAATGATTTATATTGTATTTTTTCAAGAGTATTTGTACGTTTGTGTTGTAAAATTCTTTTTCCGTAGGTTAAATTTTTCGGACAACTTCTGTTGTCTCGAATTATCTTTGCTATTGCTGTAGCCATCTCATTTCCACTTTTGGTTTTTAGCGGTACGGTCCATGCGTGCTTATTCAACACATCAATAACGGTGAGAATGTAGTGGTAAACTTTGTTGAATCGTGTGTAAGGACCGGCATCTCGACCACATCAGCCTGCCACGTCATCATATCCATAAACTATGACACGTTTGCGTAGAAAATTTTTTTCTCGCCGGAGCGTGAAGTTCTTCCACCAGTCCACTTTTCAAAGCTTTTCTTCTCAAACATGTTACGTTATGTTATGATTATTGTTGTATAATACATAAAATATCACAAAGTTCTTACGTAAACGTTCTTCATCGGCATTTTAATGTCAACTAAAATGACTGTGTATCCTGCTTCAATTTATAATAAAGTCAGCTTTACGAAGCTCCTCGATAATAGACAATATTTTGTTATCATGAGCGTCGTAACTTGTCTCGAGAGGCTTCAAGCAATCGGAGACGATCCACTAGCTCGTTAGGATCATTCGCAATGAACATAATCGATTTTGTTGTCATTTAGGATCATACTAGTATTACACCTTTAGTGGTGCGTAGTATTACACCTCTTTCGACTCTTTTACTTGACTTGTTGTTTAGATTCCTGACGCGTGGTATACTACAACTTGTATCTTACCTGATACCAAGGGTGCTATTATATTCTTATATTTGTATTGTCCAAGCTCCGCATGCATGAAGCTGAGGGGATGAACGCAACAGGAACCGAATTGTTAGACGATTTGATGATCGTGTCCAGGCTCCGGACCACAAGGGAGCTGTGGGGAAAGACGCAAATCGGGAAGAACTTCGCTTCGTCCTGAGACTCCTAACAAGCCGAGGATCAAATGGAAGACGAAGTGGAAATCTCAACTCGTGTTCCGCTAAATGGATGAGTCAAACGTACTTTTAATTTAAAGGGCCTAACTGAGTCAGTGTGCCGGGAGGGGCGCATTTTAACGCCAGATGTGTCAGTACGTCCGTATGCCCTGGCTTTCAGTTATGGAACTTAATCCAAATGACTGGGGAGAGGGCGAAGTGCAACCGCGGAAAAGTTTACAATAAATACAATAAATACAAGGGGAAGTTTTTCAAATTGACAAACGAGAGTGTAATTTAATAGTACTATAATAAAAGCAATATTTATATTTAATACATTTTT